TTTCTTTTTTTTTTTTTTTTTGGTTTTTCAAGACAGGGTTTCTCTGTATAGCCCTGGCTGTCCTGGAACTCACTCTGTAGACCAGGCTGGCCTCGAACTCAGAAATCTGCCTGCCTCTGCCTCCCAAGTGCTGGGATTAAAGGCGTGCGCCACCACCGCCCGGCAGTATTTTTCTTCTTCTCTGTCATGATGTGTACACTTGTTGGTTTGGATTTTTCTTTTTTTTTTTTTTTTTTTTTTGGTGAGGGAGGGGGCATTTCTTACTAAACTTCTACTTGTTTATTACGGATGCTGGACAGGGTGGGGAGGGGGCAAGTGTCCTGGCATATGTGTGGATGTCAGAGGATAACCCACAGGACTCGGTTCTCTCCTTCCACCATGTGGGTTCCAGGTGTTGAACTTAGGTCATTGGTTTGCGGCAAGCACTTGCTGTGCCGTCTTGCTGGCCCGTAAACATTATCGTAGGCACATATGGATGAGAAACAACACAGAACATCACAAGTTCAGTACCATCGAGCATTTCAGGCAACCACTGGGGGTTCCTAGAGTGGACCTCCACATGGCAAGAGGCAACTATTGGAACCCCTGTTTCCTCCCCACTATATATAAGGACTGAGTGAACAGAGACTTAGGACAGCCCCAAATGTCTTTAGGAATGCCTGGCTGTACGGCCAAGCCTGGTGACAACGGTCAGGCACAGAGCAGAGCCCTGCCTGGGGTGAAACCTTGCAGGGACTCAGGAGAAGACAGTGATGTTTACAACAGGACAAGCTGCTGGGGGCAGGCTCCTCTTTTCCTGAGATTCTCTGTCCCAATCCTCCCAGAAGTTTTCAAAAGGAAAGTTGAGGCTCACCCTGACAATAAAACATCTATTTCTGAATGCCTATTCTGTCTGTTCATGGTGACTGTTCTCCACACAAGCACCCTTTTTAAAATATACGTGTGTGTGTGTGTGTGTGTGTGTGTGTGTGTGTGTAAAGTAAATGCTGGGGATCCGAACCCAAGTCCTCAAGCTTGCATGGCAAGCGCTTCCACATCTCTCCAGCCCCTCCAACCTCACTTCTGACACAACCTTGCTTTACACTGACATCCTGATACACTATATCCTGATCAGAATAAATCACAAAGCTCCCATACAGTGCTCAGCAATGACAAGGGGGAGCTGTTACAAATCCTGAACATGCAGCCAGAGTTTGGAATTATGGGAGTTTGCATGGGTAAAATTCTTGGCTCAGACATACAGTTACAGCCATATCAGGACCCAAATGCAGATGTGGGCAAAGCAGTTCA